GGCAGCTGAGGGGCTGTGGGGGCAGCTGAGGGGCTGTGGGGGCAGCTGAGGGGCCGCTGGGCTGGCCATGGCTCTGTGGGGGTGACCCCGTCCTCAGCCGGACCTGGTGGGGAGGGTTCAGTCGGGACTTGCTGTCCTGCGGGCCCGGCCTGTCCTCAGGCTCCTGGGGTCTTGAGTTCCCACCCCCGAGGATCTCTGGCCCCTGTGGCACGAGGCGTCCACTTCATGAGGTGTCCCTGCTTGTCATGCACCCCTGCAGACAGTGGAATTGGCCTCCTAGGGAAGTGGTGGAGGCACCATCCCTGGCTGTGTTCAGGGACAGGCAGGATGTGGCACTGAAGTGCCATGGTCTGGCTGATGTGCTGGTCATAGGCTGCACTTGATGATAATGAAGGTCCTTTCCAGCTTTGGTGATTCTGTGATTCAGTGATTCTGTAACCACCCTGGGCCACAGCAGTCACTTTGTGAGGGGGAATTTGGGCACGGGATTGGTTAGAGCTGTTTTGCCTGATCATGCTGTACCAGGCAAGCTTTCCATGGAAAAAACCCTACATTTTTTTGAAGGTTTACAACCTGTTCTGGCTCACAGCCCCCGGCTCCTACCCCTGGTGCTCGCACTGGTGCAGCCAGGGCCTGCAAGAACAACATGCTTTTTGGGCAAGATCTAAATTACGGGGTTTGCCCACCCTCATACCTGTCTCCAGGTGGCCACCATCCCCTGCACCAGCTGCCTTGCTTTGCCTCTCCCACGTGGCTCTCCCATCCCTGGCTGTCACCTCAGCCCTCACAGCGGTCACCATCTCTCCCCAGGCTGCAGACGAGGCTGCCCTGACGACGCTGGCAGAGACCCTGAAGCAGCACAGCATTGACCACCAAGTGTGGATGGAGCAGCCTGAGAATGTGGCCACCTGCTTGGCGCTCAGGCCCTACCCGAAGGACCAAGTGCACCAGTACCTGAAGAAATTCAAATTGCTCAAGTGAGCGGGGGCAGACAGGGGCAGCTCTGCCTCTGGGCCAGAGCCGAGTGTGTCTGTGGGCAGCCACCAGGAGGGAAGCTGCTGGCTTTTTGGTGGTGCTGTGCTGATGCTCAGCAGCAGGTTGTGTTGTCTCACCTTGACAGCGGTTACACAGTGTGAAGCAGCTCTGGAGTGGGGGGGATTAAATGTTACTCTGTGCAGAAAGTGGCTCCATGTTGTATTAACCTGCTGTCCCTGTGCCTGTAGGTGTTTCCCTTGCCACACTTGGTTTTTTTAGGGGTAACCTGCTCCTTGAGCTTCCCAGTCTGTCCATCCATCCCAGGGGCTGCTGTCCTTCTGCCCAAGCTCTGGCTGCCAGCACAGCCACCCAGTGGCTCTGCTCCTCCCTGTGGATTTGGTGCTGCTTCTTCTGCCAGGGTGGCTCCCGGCACCTCTCCCACCTCCACCCCTCACACTGTGGCTGTGGATCCACGCCGGCTCACAGCACCAGGTCGCTTCTTCCTCCCGCACCAGTGAGGCCGGGTTGCCTTGTCAGTTTTGTTTTACCCACATGGAACCTGGCCGTGCCACGCTGCCGAGAGGCACCTGAGCAGCAGACGGCAGCATCGGCCAACAACTGGCTGCGGACCCGCTCCTGCCGCCCATGGGAAACGCGTTTCCAATGAGCCGCTCGGTTTTCAAAAACCACACGGTCAGCTGAAAGCGCATCTGCCCTGCCCCTCCCCAGCCTGGCCTGGCTGTGAATGCCACTTCCACCCCCTGCCCCCTCCCCTTGCCCCTATTCCAGAGATGAACGTGCCCCTGAGGTGTTTCAGCACCCTGGGCTATACAGAACCCCTGGTGCCCCTGTGGGGAGCAGGGCTCTGGCGTGGGCTCCTCTTCCCGCTGCCCACCATCCCGCGCCACGCTCCAGTGCTCAGTTTGGTGACTAACAACCCCCCATACACACGTTATATTGTTTTTTTTCTACAGTGCTTTGGGATTTAAGCCAGTTTTTCCCACCAAACTCCACACGCTGGCTCATTTCCAGCTCCCCCAGCCTGACGACCCGTGGTGACGGAGGGGATCCTGGCATCCCTGAAGCGATGACTGGCCGCTTGGGTTCTTTCCTTGTTTGTTGGGGTGTTTTGGGGCTCTTCTGTCATTTTAAACTCTTCCAAATGATGTCAACCAGCAAAGCGACACATTTGTTTTTTTCCACACACCAGTGTGATTTTTAGAGAGGAGGGTAGAAAGGGAAAAGTCCCCCCGTAGCTGCCCCCGCCCCCCCCCAAGTCCACAGTGAATATTAAAAGCGACCCCCAAATAAAGAGAAGAAAACAAATTTATACAGAGCTCAGAGCTATTTTACAGTGACAGGCTTGAGGGAACAAAAAAAAAATAAGCTATCTCCCAAGAGAGAATTCAATTATTATTATTATTTTATTATTATTATTTTAAATAGTTTAAGCTACCTCAGCTGTTAAACACAATCAAAGCAGAAAGAACCGACTGCTTAATTTTATTTAATATTTAATCAGAAAATTTTATCTACAATAATTGACAGACCCCTCCCCCCATCCTTCCCCCTAAAAATTATTGCAGTTTTTTCCCCAAACTGTTCTTTTTTTTTTTTGTCTTTTTGTTTGTTTTGTTTTTTCTATTTAAGCAGAATAATTGCTGACAAGTTGGGGTTTTTTTTCAGTGCAGCTTTAATGTCATCTACAGTATGCCATTTATGAAAAACAGTCCATGGGACAGCAATTAGGGATCTGTTGGCTTCCAGCATTCATTTTATACCTTTAACCAATGTTATACTTGAATGTTGTTATTTTGTGTGCTGGTTTGCTTCTGGTGTGGTTTTGGTAGCAGGGGGTCTCAGGAGTGGCTCCTGTTAGAAGCTGCTAGAAGCTCCCCCATCTCAGGTAGAAAGACAACAGATGGGCCTCTGCCATTAACATATGACAGAACTGAAATAAGGCCTCAGCAAGCAGGGGAGAAAGAGCTGTGCTGGAGAGGTGAAAGGCAGTGCCAGGGCAAAGATCCTGAGGCTGATGAGGAAGAAGGGGGAAGAAGGTGCCCAAGCAGAAGGAGAGGTTCATGGAGAACTCTCTCCCATGGGAGGGACCCCGTGGAAAAGTAGGAGAGGACTGTAAGCAATTCTCCCTGAGGAAGAAGGAGTGGCAGGAAACAACAGAACTGTGAACTGACTCTAAACCCCATCCCCTGTCCCCCTGTGCTGCTGGGGGGAAGGAGGGAGAGAAACCAGGAACAAAGTGATTTGGGCCCAGGAAGCAGTGAGGGATGGGGTAACATATGCAAGCCCTGCTCTTTGTGTTGTGTGTTCTGTGTGTGTTTGATTAGTGTGAAATTAAATTATTATTTTTCCCCAAGTTGAGTTTGTTTTGCCCGGGACCAGAATTGGTGAGTGAAACCTTCCTTGTCTTTTGTCTGGACCCATGAGCTTCCAGTAGCTGGCCTTTGTCCTCCCCATCCCACAGTGTGTGCGTGGGTGGGGGGGATGAGTGAGCAGCCACATGGCTAGTTCTTTGTTGTTGTCTTAGACCCAATGACATTTTGATAGAATGTACCACTGATGTTTCCCTCATGAAACATACTAGTAAAGCCAGTTGTATCTTTGTAAAGTCAGGGCCCATGTTAGCAGTTTTGGGTTGAGGTAGGGATCTCCTACCAGATTCACTGTACACTGTACGTCGGCAAAGACCTGAACCTGTTGTACCTGCTGGGACACAAAAAATAAGAGGGGGGATTTAGCTGGGCCGGGGCAGGGGCCGGCGGCAGTGGATCTGGGTACTACGTGAAGTGGAAACTCACTAGAGACTTCCTCTAGTCTGGAGCCACCCCAGAGAAGAACTCTTCTGTCTTCTTGTCCTATAAAAAGAAAACCGCTGCAACTCATTCGGCTCGGCGAGGTTCGTAATGTTGCTCATCCGAAAAAAAAAAAGGAGGGGGGAAAAATGAATTTGGGGGGTAAATCCCCCCCCGAAAAAAAAACAAACACCGCAGCCTGGCATCCCCTGGGTGAAAGGGAGCCGTGGCGTGGTGGCACGGGGTGGCACGGGGTGGCATTGGTGGTGAGCGAGGTCCAGCGTGGCTGTTTGATTGAAAACCAAGGGTTGTGGCGTCTCTCGGCAGCGCTGCCGGCGCGTCCCTACGGGCTCTGCAAACCAAGGCTGTGCTACGGGGAAGAGGGAGGCGGTGCTGGGACGCCGGCGGCTCGTGGATGAGACGGGGATGAAGTGGATTGTCCCCGGCAGCCCGGGGCTTTGTCGCCGGTGGGTGGCTGGGCACGCTTTTGGTGCTCAGTGCTGCTCCGTGGGATGGGGCAGCATCCGGAGCCTCCCCAGCCAGGTTTCCTCTGAAGGAGGTGGCCTGGCTGCACCGCGGCGGTGCAGGGGCCTTTGGCTGCTCCAGAGGTGGCCGAGCCTAGGAAAGAAACCCTCCCCACCCGATGTCACTCCAGAGCTGGGCCTTTAGCACCAGTAACTCATCTATTTTTCCAGCTCAGCTGCGGTGTTACCGCTCCTCTGCACCGCTCTTGGCAGCGGCGCCAGCTTTGATACGAAGAGGGTTGGCAAGCAGTGCTGGTGTCCCCAAGGGCTGGCTGTCACCCAGGGCTGGTGGGACCATGGTGGCTTCAACCCAACCCTGCCAACCAGGGCCGGCCCCAGTGGAAACCAAGTGTGTCGCACTAGTACGGCCAGGGGTGTTCATGGGGAGAAGGAACCCATCAAACTCCTCGGGGTACCTGAGGTGTGCTTAGCAGTTTCTTACTGACCTGCGCCCCATCTGCTTCTGTTTTCAAAAGGTCAGTGGAGGAAAGCTGGTTGCAGTAAAGGCCCGTGGGTCTCAGCGCCGGGTCATTTACCTGTCAAGAGCAAGATCCAGGCTCAGCCAGGGGCTCCTGGATGCCCAAGTGGCACTCACCGCCCGCCCAAGCTGAGTCTGGGGGCACACAGGATGGGGGAGAGCAAGGGAACTTTTGCCACCAGCATCCTCCATGGGCTGTGGGGTTTTGGGGGGATCAGCACGGGGCCCTGTTTTGCTTTTCTCTCCATCTTTGCCTTAGGCTGCTGCCAGATTCAGGGTTGTCTCACCCCCAAGGAGCATGAAACACTACCCAACTGCTCCGTGAGTGGTGGGGTAAAAGCCACCAGCTCAGCCTGTGTCCTGCAGCCACCTCACATTAGGGACAAACCTCCTTCCTCATGGAGCCCCCTTGGCTTCTCCTGGTAGAGGCTGCAAGCCCCAGCCTGCAATATCCCACACCAATCTGACAAGCTGGGAGCTTAATGGCACTGAGAGAAACCCTGGCAGCTAAGAAAGTTGTGGGATCTCACCAAAGGGCTTGGACTGCAAAAAGATCCTGTATCCAACCATTTCTGTTCCCCATTCCCAGGTTTCACATCTCCCTGGGAATGCACAACTTTTTACAAGGGTGAGGAGTGATGGGATGAGGGGGAACAGTTTCAAGCTGCAAGAGGGGAGATTGAGATGAGATCTGAGGAAGGAATTCTTTGCCGTGAGGCTGGTGAGACTGGCCCAGGTTGCCCAGATAAACTATGGTTGCCCCCTCCCTGGCAGTGTTGAAGGCCAGGTGCATGGGGCTTGGAGCAAGCTGGGCTAGTGGGAGGAGGTTAGGACTAGAGGATCTTTAAGGTCCCTTCCCATCCAAACCAGTTTGGGAATCAGATGCACTGCCAGGCCACCATGAAGGCTGGACGTGCTGGAGATGCTCGGCATGTCCCTGCACTCCCCAAGGACACATGGCACACCATGGGATGCTGGTGGCCTTGGACTCAAGTACAGCAGCTATCCTAGATCTATGCCACTTTCCCCTTCATATACTGGTACCCTCAGGGCCAGAGAAGCCAATGCAGAACCCTGGGAGCTGGCTGGCCATCCTGGGAGCAGGAAACAGTGTGTGACTGACCTGCTCCGAGCACATGGAGTTCATCCCAGGCATCTGCAGCGAGTTCATCTGCATCTGTCCAGTCATGGGGTTCATGTTCTGGACGTTGGTGTTTCCTCCCGCCATGGAGACGGTGATACTCATGTTGTTGTACATGCCCTGCTGAGCAGGTGCTGGCTGGCTCTGCCCTGCTTGGCTGAATACGCTGGGAAAGAGAAGGGAAAAAAAAGCATTACCTGGGGCTATGTGGTACTGGGAGGCACCTGGATGTGTGTCCTGAGCCCCTGGGGTGGTCTGAGCCATGGTGGCAGTCAGCCCGCCTCTCTGTGAATACTGAGATGGAAGCCCTGCAAGTTCTGGGGACAGTGGGAGGGGCAGGGAGGCATTAGAGGTGCTTCCTGCTGCAAGGCCTAATCAACATGGTGGCTGGGAGGGAGGTGGCCACTGGAGACATCTGTCCTCTGCTCCTGCTGCAGCAGGAGGCTCCTTGATGTGATGGAGGACACCAGAGCCATGAGAGGGACCATTACTGGGCTTTAGGCTGGATTAAAGGTCAGCCCCTTCACGCTCCTTCCAGTGTCCTCCTCAACATCCAACCATACCCACTTCTGCTCCAGGCAGGAAGATGGGTCTCAAGTGCTAGGTGAATCATCCCACCTCCAACACAGTTCCCATCTTATCCCACCCAGCCCAGTCACTTCCTGCTCCGAGCTCTTGCTGAGCTACCACAGAGCTGAGACACAGATAGGCATCCCCCAGGTGAGCTTTTGTTGTTTTTTTTTTCCCCATTTCAGAGATCTGAAGCTCAGACCTGATTCATACAAAAAAGGCCACAAGTCTTGTGACTCCTCCCATTTGCTTCCCTATGTCACAGCTGGAAACTCCTTAAGGGAGTCACGCAGTGACCTGGGACTGCTGGTCTTGACTGAATTTATTGTCATGTTTCCTAATCCCACTTTCATGAGACATAATAAAGCCATTCACTTAATTACAAGCCAAAGAGCTGCTTCATGTCTTACTCAACCCATGTGCTTATTCATTTAAATTCTGTGGGCTTCTGGCTGCCTCAGAGCTGAGGTGAACATGAGGACATGGGTTGATGGTGACTTCTGGAGGACATGACAACAGGACATGGCCTGAGCTTGTGTCCTCAGCCGGGTGTCACCTACAGGCACCATTGCCCCTGACAACACCTAACCAGGGAATCACCTTGCCACCTTCTTTGTGTATGTGTCACCTGTGTGCTCCAGGTTATCCCCACCATGACCTTACTTGCTGTTGCCCATGGCTCCTTGCTGCCAGGTCTTCATGTCAGGGGACTGGTAGCCGGGCGTGGGAGGCGCCGGCTGCAGCATGGGGCTCTGCGACGGCGGGAGCTGGGGTGACATCAGGGGGCTGCTGGGGCTGAGCGACGGGGCAAAGGCAGGTTCACTTTGCTGACCCATGCCTGGGGAAGGACAGATGGTGTCAGCTGTGCAGAGACCTCCCCCCAGCAACCCCAATTCCTTCCTCCTCCCCTGTAGCCGCTGGCATCAAACCAGAACGATTAGCCTTGACTTTCAGGTTTGGGGATCTCTGTTTTTCGTTTCAAGCAGCTCTATTGCTCAAATGTAACTATTTCAGGGCTGAAGGAGCAGGGAAACCCTTCCTCAAGAGGTTTCCATCAGCAAATGTTCCTCTTCAGCGCCACACCTGGCTGGAAAACACCCAGGGTAATGAGAAGATGCTGCCAAAGGATGTTCCTGCCAGACTATGGCAGCAACACTGCCCCTTTTCTCTACTCATTAGTGATGTCCTCCTTGCTAAGACCCTGCATGGATGCTTGAACATGAAGACCTTCAAGATGGTGTCTGTCTGCACGCAACTCTGCGCTGCCTCACCCATCTCCTATGAGTGTGGTGGCCACACAAGAGGCGTGAGCTGCCTGCAGCTCATTCCAGACATCTCAGCAAGGCTGTAGACTTTTTCAGAGCATGTATATTTAAGGAAGAGCAATTTAGAGGACTGCCTTGCAGTTTGATTTTCAAAGAAAGAGTTAAGGAAATTATTTTCAAGGTTTAAGTTTCCCAAACAGTGTAACAGTGTTTAGTTTGGGTTTTTTTTTTTTTTGAGATTCAATCAGAAAAGGTCCCTTTGGAAGATGGAGACCTTCAATTCCCCTTGGAGACCATAGAACACAGGTTCATAGAATCACAAGATCCTACACTGGTTTGAGCTGGAAGGGACATTAAAGATTATCTAGTCCCAACCCCTCTGCCATGGCAGGGGCGCCTCCCACTAGACCAGGTTGGTCCAAGCCCCATCCAACCTGCCCTTCAACACTGCCAGGGATGGGGCAGCCACAGCTGCTCTGGGCAACCTGGGCTAATGTCTCATCACCCTCACAGCAAATAATTTCTTCCTAATGTCTAACTTAAATCTCATCTCTTCCAATTTAAAGCCATCACCCCTTGTCCTATCACTCCATGCCCTCATAAACAGTCTCTCCCCAGCTTTCCTGGGACTGGATGGATTGGATGAGATGGCTGGGGATGAAGCCTCGGCTGACAAATGAGCAGAGCTGGGCTACCGCATCCTCAGGGATCTCAGCTCTGCCCTCTCCCTCCCCACCACCAGCCTGCATTCCAGTGCAACCAACCCCTCGAAGTACCTGATCCCGAATACTGAAAGATGTTCTGCTGCATCTGCGGGGTCATCCCAGTGCCGAACTGCCCTCCGACGCCGCCCATCATGCCCCTGTTCACCATGCTGCTGCGGTTGGCCAGCGCGGCCTCGGGGTTGGACGTCAACGGCGAGAAGGGACTGGTGGAGGTGGGAGGGTTTCCCGGGGTCGTACCGTAGTTCGGGGGATAAGGGAACTGCTGGGGGGGTGCTTGAGGCAAGCGAGTGGCTCCGATCTGTACCGGGAGCCCGGCGGAGGGGGGCAGGTTGTTGCCGAAGCTTTGCTGTCTCATCAGGATGGCTCGTTGCTGCATGAGCTGCCGCTGCCGGTGCTGCTGGCTGTAGAGCTCGCGCTGGCGCTGGGCCAGCATCTGGGCGTTGAGGGGAGGCTGTGGGGAAGGAGGAGAGATGCCTATCATCATTACCTTCTGGTTCTCGCCAACAGATCAGAGATTCCCCCCTCCTAGCCATCCTCCACTCTTAGGGAGGGGTTGGCTCTTGGTCATTTGGCTGCCACCAACCACCCGTCTCTTACATGGGACCCGGTTCTTGTACCCTCACTGGGATGCTCCTGAACACCCCTGGATCCCTGACCTTGACTCTTTCAGCTGTGAGCTGTGAAAAAAAAAGCCCCATCCCAGGAGCTTTTCAATCACTATGGGCTTGCTCCCCATATGGCTGAGCCAGATGTGTTGGAATTAATCATCTTAAAAAGCCTGACAAAGCCATCAGAGGTTGAAATCGGAGCTACGATGGGAACCATTCAATCCCCTTCCCTATCACTAAGGCTCCCCACGGCTCATTAGGCTTCCCAAAAAGTCAAAGACTTCTCCAAGAAGTGGAATAAAGTCACCAGAACTTGGCTACACTTTTCAGCATCTCTTCATACCCAGCAGATGTTTTGTTCACTTCATTAGAAGCCAAATAAGAACTTTAGGGCCTGGGAATTTGCAGAATCATTAGAAGTTGCATTAGAGATTCTGGTATTTAAAGGACGGCATCTCTATTTCCCAAAGATCTTTCTCAATTAAATACATTAGCACATCCTTATCCAAACAGTAACAAGGTATTTATACCTTAAGCAGGTCGAGGAGCTGGAATAAGGGTGAAGCAAAAACAACCAAACCCCACAGCAGCTCCTCTTGCCACCATCTCTCTGCACATGGGAGAATTTTTCTCTCCCAGTAATGATAGGGAGGAGCGAGCCAGGCTGTGCTAACATGGAGAGCACAAGGATTAACCCCCAGTTTTTCCCAGCAGGAGGACAGGGCCGTGTCCCTCTTACCTGAGGCGTGATCTGCTGCTGCATCCCCGCCCGCATGTTGATGCCCACTGGGGAGCTGGCTGCAAACTGGTTGAGGATCGCCTGCCGGTTTTGATGGAGCAGCTGGAGGAGAGATAAAAAACAAACAAAACAACCCAGGGAGACCTTCAAAACTCCAATGCAGGAGCTTCCCACCCATCCAATCCCTTCTGATTGGGCTGCAGGCAGGACTGAGAGTCCTTCCACCACCCCCTCCCCTCCCAACCCCACGGCCCTGGGATGCAGAGGTGCAAGAATTACCTGCTGCTGCCCCTGCAGCCTCTGCTGCCGCCGCCGGCGCAGGCGGGTGGGGG